CATTCACTAGTTAAGTGACCAATCCAATGTTCTGCTGGACATTCATTCAGCCAAACAAATGCTGGTAGTCAGTCACTTAATGTTACCAATGAGTCATTTATCATTCTAACGCATTTTATGTTTTTTTAGAAACGTATTATAAAACTTAATATGAAGAACAAAAGTTGTCAGTATTTAATGTTTAAGCACATATATATATATATATATATATATATATATATATTTTATTTATTTTTTCTGTCCAAGTTGTTATGTAGATATTTCATGGCAAACAAAAGAATTTGGAGTCGTGTCAACCTATTTTGTGCCACATCATTTTTGTATTTATTTAGAATTTGTACACGCCTCTGATGAACACATTTGTTATATAATATTGAAGACTATAAATACACTTGCTTTATGCTGAGATTTACACATCCAAAGCAAAGAACATATCTGTTTGGGTCCTGTATCTGAGTACCAGCATGTCAGCCATCAGCATCACTGTTTTCCTTATGGTAGCCTTCGCAACTACTGGTAAGATAATCGAGTAACATTTTAAATTATGCTAAATAATAACTCCATATTTTACTGATAAATATAAAATCTGTCTGTCTATCTATCCCTTAATCCAACCATCTGTTTTGGTAAAATATGGATTTAATGGTAATCTTTAGCCGCCAGACATATCATTTTGATTCACTAGAAACCTAGTCAAGTAACTAAAAACTTCTAAAATAACTATTTCTATTTTAGTCCATCATTAATATTCATCACTGGCATAACATTAACTAGAGTGTTTAAAAAGTCCAGTACAGTGAGACTTCGGTTTACGAATTTAATACGTTTCTTATTGCGAAAATTTGTAAACTGAAACGCAGTTTCCCATAGAAATGCATTGAAAACCAATTAATCTGTTCTGGAGGTCAGAAAAAAGTAAAAATGAGCTGGCATGGAAACCAACCCACAATGCAGAACACACAATAAAAGGCATGCAAACGATGAAGCTCAGCTCCCTACCTTTCCACAGCTTGAGAAATGCACCAAAAAGTCCCAAAACAACTGCAAACAATGTCCAGAATGGCTCCAAAACTCGATGCAAAAGCCGCACCAACACCTCCACACTCGACCCCACATGCTACCCACAGGCTCCAGCATGCAGGGGGCAGTGCTATAAACCTCCCAGGTTCAATGCATCCTGGGGAAACTTGCTTTGTATTGCAAAAACAATTTGTAAACCGAGGCATTATTTTCAATGGATTTTAACTTGTAAACCGAAAATTATGTTAACCGAGTCGTTTGTAAACCGAGGTCCCACTGTACTACCTTCAACAGCTTTCTCTGCCTGGAGATCTAGTGGTGGCTGGCGGGGTTCTGATTCTCATAGACCTGCCATTGTTGAAAAACTGCATGTTTGTTAAAGCGATCTAATTAGGATTGTGGTATGTATTTAATGTAAGGAGAGTTGTTTATTCGATTTGGTTTGCAAATCCATCACCTTGGTCAAAAAATCATATTATAGTTACCATAAATAAATATTCTTTTTATTTTAGGGTACTGTGTAATATGTAAACAATGTTATGGCCGGAATCAAGAAACCTGTGATGATGTCGAAGAAGTGGATTGTGGAGATGCTTACTGTATAACGGTGTCCGAACGTAACATATTTGGTATGTACATAACATGACATCATGTCCTGCAAACACATTTTCCTCCACGATATGTTACTGTTTTATCTATTTCTGTATTTGTAGAAGTTGCTACATATTTCATTAAATAAGTCAATTTTCAAACATCTTCTGAAGCTTTTCAAACCTTTAGCTACCATTGGCATTCCCACAACCTTTAATGAGCTCTAGTCAGAAACTTCCAGGTCATCAATTTGCCTGGAGGTGACAAAACAAATCAGCCCTATAATTTGAAATAAACTGTGATTTTATTTTGAGATTTATGTTGTACCCCTACACATTTGCTAGCTCACATAAAATAAAAAAAGAAAATAAGAAAAAACAACTATACACTGATTTCAATACTTTAAGTGAAGCTCCAACACCTCATTGCTAATTTCAACTTCTATGACTCTTATGCATTTTATCAGTCTTCTCTCTTCCTAATACTAAACATGTATTAAATAGTAGGAATCATGAAATCAAACACACATTGCAGAGAAACGGCAATATTTACATTGCAGCACTAAGTCTGCCTCCTGGGGCTGTCTCCCAGACAGCCACTAAAGGGGCTTCCTGGATCCTAACGGACCTTTAGTTCGGTAACTGACGCTCTGAATGAGGACATCCGGCATCAGATTTTTCCCCATAGGAAAGCATTGAATCAGTGTTTTTCTATGTGGAGGGCTAAAGCATGTGTTGCATATGCTGGGCATATGCATTAGTGCCTGCTTGTAGTGGAATGTCACAGAAGGTAAGCTAAGTAAATAAAGGGTTTTTAATTCTTTATTCATCCAGGCGAGGGGAGCAAGCAGAGGGGAGGCAGAGGGAACCATAGTGCCAGGAATACAGTTTTGTATTCCTGGCACTTATAATATCCCTTTAAATTTAAACAACTCTAGATTTTAAACGTCAAAGTGGGACATTAAAACTGGAAAGGAAACTGTACGCCCACAATGATTATTCTCTGGGATGTGAGAAATGAAAAGAAGGGGTAAGACTAACTTTTTGCACTTTGTATTAGAGGATCAGTGAATACAAAGTTAAAATGCTTAGTGTTTAATATGCAGAAGAAGATGTCTAGTCATTCAGCATCTTAAATTCCAACAGCCTTTATTAAAACATTACATCGACAATGTTTCAGCCACCCACTGTAACCATTCTCAAGCCTCCTCTATCTGGATATTTAGATAATTATGTCTAGTGTTGTCATTCTTGGTGACAGAGATTACGCTCACATCATGAGGAAGAAGATGTCGGACATTGGATGTTATTAAAGCCACTGTCAACCACATTTTATGAAGTTGCAACTCCTAAAATGGCAGTTGAACTCCAATAATATCTTGGGACAGATTTCAACATATTTTAAACAGTAATGAAAACCTGATGCTTTTTGTTTCAAAAGCATTATTTTGTTTTAGTAGGAATCAAAAGAATACAGAGGGCATTGGGTTTACATCACTAAACATCACAATAAAAAAAGAACTTAAAATAAATTGTATAATAATTATACTGCTTGGTTTCTGATAAAAAGGGATAGAGAATAAAGTAGAATGAAACAATTTGGTCATGCAGAATTCTCAAAGGGTACCAGTTAGTAAGTTGAAAAGATTTGCAGATGAACGTCTTTTGCTGGCAAGATAGAGAATGTATGTAGGTTTCCAAATCTTCACAACAATTGGAAATCTCTCCATTTCTTATATTAGGAATCCTCAAACCAATCTAGATTAAATACACTAATTTAGTTTGGCACGTTGCAAAGGTGAGCCTAGCCGGTAAAATGCCAGAACCATTTGGATAAATCTAGGATGTCTTGGGAGTAACTGCCATAAATAAACCAATCTGGGACAGTGCCACTGAGAAGTGACAAAGGGATTCAATGTACATTTTCTTCTAAGAATTATTGTATGCTAGATAAATACTAGAAACCGTTAAACGGATTCACCCTCTCCTCCCCGCATTTCAGTCATTTAGAGGAATCTGATAAATTGACTTGCTATTGGGACTCAGGCGCTAAGAAGACATATAATCCTATCCAGCAATGCATCTCTTAGTATAGAGGGAGTGGAAAGAGCTTGAATAGTTTGTCACCGTTAATATGTAATAGGTGGAAAGATTAAGAAGCAATTATTGATATTGTTATTATTAGCATTTTCTATAGCGCCTACATATTCCACAGCACTTTACAATTCTAGAAAGGCGATATCTGACAACAAGCAATTGTCATACACAATATTAATGAAGGCCCTGCTAAAAATAAGGTTACAATCTATAAGGAAGAGTAAAGACACACAAAAGAAATAACAGCATGTAGGATGGCAGGAGGGTTGTTGTCCATTTGTGAATATGACTGGTCAGCATAAAATTACCTAAATCCATTTGAATACAACTATAGAATAATCAGATAGAATAGTCAGGTTTTAAACATTTCTTTTTTTTTTTTGTAACTTGTATGTTTACATCTACTCTATATCTTGTGACCTAGATAGCACAGCATTAAATAAGCAGTCTTACAATTCATCCCAAACTGTGCTTATCTGGAAATGAAGATGAAACATTATGAGGAGATGGTCTTGTTCTCACTTTGAAATGAACATGTATTATTTTCATAATTTTGTGAACATATATAGGTCTGCATTGTTCCATAAATTAGTGTATATGCTTGGTTTCAGTGCTACGTCACTTGTCCCTTTGCAATATTTAATAACAATCCATATTATATGTGTGTTTAAACATGTACTTTCAGAAAATGTGGTCTATCCTACATTTTCCAAGGGATGTCAAAAAGATGTTGGACTTTGCAATCAGCTTTTTTCTGCCACAACTGGAGATCAGTTAACAGCTTCAGGGCAATCAGTTTGTTGTCAAGAGGACAACTGTAATGAAAAAACTACCTATCATGGTAAGTGCGTTCATTAGTTTAGGTTGTTTGTTTAAATAATAATATTAATAATATATCATGTAACAAGGAAAACCAAATACATGTCACTCAATGTCAATTTCTATAAAGAGATGAAACGCAAGGCATGATTCTTGCTGATTTTATCGATGGATGGACAGACAGACTGACTGACTGACTGACTTTTGGAGCACTGTAGCATAGTTTACAGAGTACAATATTAAACAAATACTTACACAAAATTTGAGAAACACCACTGTATAAGACCTCTAACACTTTACAGTTACAGTTTATTAGTTATAGGATATAAAACCGATATAAAGCATGTTAAGAGGTTTATGCAGTGGTAGTTCTTAAATTTTGTGCAATAAGCTCGTACATGCCTCATTTTATAGTTTGCTTCATATTTCTTTTAGTGGATTCTTATGGTGAACCAAATGGCCTTTACTGCGAATCTTGCTTCAGAAACAATACCAAAGTAGAATGTCATTCAAGAGACAGAGTTCAGTGTCTGGGTAATCAATCAAAATGCCTCTACTATTCAGGAACTTTGGAAAGATCTGGTAAGTTTTGGTAAATTTAAAAATATTGTGAACCAAATGCAAAATAATTTTATGAGCCATGGCTGTAATTTTACATTAAATGTATCCTTAGTACAGAAACAACAAATTCATCACTTTTCTAATTTTCCATCTGAGATGATGCTTTTAGCCATTGTGTTTTAGAAAGTCTGCTATATAATTCTGACCTTGCCTCCTAGACATTGGTGAGTGGAAATTTAGCCCTAGTGAGAACAAATTCATATCTGGTGAGTGTGTCACAAAGTCTCCAGGCTCGCAGTGGCGTAGAACTCCTAAGGCTTTGCTAGTAGCGCAGGGTTTTCATTGTAATCTTGTTTAGATCTTTTTGACTCTGTTACAAATGACCTCTATGTATTATATCCTATACAATAAGTGCTATGGATGATTTGTGTATTTATTCACTTTTTCATTTTTCAAAGTACCCCTAGACTCTTTAGCCAATTCAACCTGTTTACCATTCTTTTAGAAAATTATTTAGCACCTTGAAGAGAATGAGAATTAATCTATACTTTTTCTTTATAGATCTTTCTGTTGTTGATTACATTGTTAAGGGCTGCGTTTCCGAACGAGCCTGTAAATACCAGCTGGAAGTTTTACCAGGAACCATCCAAAAAGAAAAAAGAGTCTACAGATGCGAAGATCCCACTAATTATGATAATGGTTGTGAAGTTTAAAGTTGCAAAGATTACAACTAATCACAATACTGCATTCATATCATAGTTGATTGCTAAATAGTTGCCAAGAAATGCAAGTTTTAACCTGTATCTATTGCAGTGATGTGATGCAGTCTGAACTGCAGATTTTACAGGGAGCAGAAAGAAAGAGGTTAAAATCATAGTGATTGTTCTGTTTTACAAGGTCAATTTGTCTCAAGATATAGAAAATGATATAAGGAAAACACTAAAGATCTTTATTCTTCAAGCATGTAACATGTTATTCCAGCACTAAATATACATCACACTTTCACTATGGTTCTGCTTGTTTGTATATGAAAATCACCGTTATACTGGCTAGCAGCTATATCATAAATGTAATAGTTTTGGATAAGGTTTTCAATTAATTCAAAATGTTAGAAAAACTAACTTTAATTACTTATTTGCAGAAGTCCAAATTAAAGTCTACAATAGTTTTTCGTAGATAAGCTTTAGCAAAGTTGTTCTAACAGATTGTGATCATTTGAAAAGTTTACCCAAAAGTTTACTCATGATGTTAAAAATGTACCTCAAGCTTCCATTTTTATTTTGCTTATGCTTTAGTGTGCTTTTTGATCAATAAAATATTGCATATCATACAGAAGACTGTTCTGTGATTTGTTAAAGGTAAACAAAATCGGAATATTTGAATAAATATTTCATATAATTCCTATGTAGCTTTTCTTTTGTCTCTTGAAGTTAAATCAGGGAGATCTTGCATTCTTGGCAAGTGAATCCAAGTCCAAAGACAATTTTTATAAATCTGGACATGGAATCAGGGATGAAAATAATTGAGTGGATAAATGTGTAGAGGTTGGGGGTGTCTTTTACTTCTATGTATAAGTAATCCCTCTGTGTAGTGACGTTATGAAAAATGAGAGACTGAAGGTGTTATTCACAAAAGTGAGAATGCGAAACATAGCTGACTTGGATAAATGTTTTCAGTTTGTCTACTGTGGCCTCTCTACTGTCCAAATACAAAAGAATAAAAACAAATCACTGTTTATTATCTGTAACCCTAATGAAAACTTGCATGCATTTAATTATGCATTTTTCATTGCAATTATATCTAAAACCAGCTTGCAAAAGCTGCAGATTTCTTGTCTGCTGCCTTTGCAAGACCTCCCCTACTAACCCCGTCCAGACTTTTTGTAGCTGTCCAATCACAAACTTCCCAAATACAGCTCGATGAGAAATCTTTGCAAGGCAGGTGCTCTGAATAATTGCTGCCTCGTGAGTCTAACAGTGCAGAGCTAAACAAATCAGGAAGTAACTGGGTCGGTTGTCTGATTGACAACCTGAGAGCAGTGGCGTACACACAATCCATGGGGCCCCAGGTGCGAAACTGATCCATGGGTTTCCCTCCCCACGCCACCTCACACAGACACATACACACCGACACACATACGTACAGAGACACATACATACACACAAACAGACAAACAGACACATACACACAGACACACACACACACAGATACACCGACAGACACACACACACACACACAGACACATACATACAGAGACAGACAGACACATACACAGACAGACACACACAGACATATACACACACACATACACAGACAGACACACACAGACATATACACACACACACACAGACATACAAACACAAACACACATATACAAGATGTTTAAGTCACCCTCCTACCTTTTAGGTGCAGGGGGATGACTTTCCAGTGGTGGCTCAAACAGATGGGAGTCAGAGTTCCCACTCTGACTCCCTCTTCTCTTCCTCCTGCGTGGGCTCTCTCTGATAGCTGGGAGGAGTGACCGGGGTAGTCACTTCCTCCCAGCTCTGATGTCATCACAGGGAGCCTGTCGTGCTGTTAAAGCGCCATAGCGCTGACTGGGCCCCCTGGAAATTCATCTCCATCGGGTGGCCCTAACAGCATGGGCCACCCGATGGGCCCTTGAACGTGCGGCCCCGGTGTCTTGCCGCGTGGTCCGGGGCCACAACCAGTGGTGTATCCTGGTTTTGTGCTGCCCTAACAGACAGACACACACTAACAGACACACACACTAACAGACACACACACACTAACAGACAGACACACACACTAACAGACAGACACACACTCTAACAGACACACACTCACACACACTAACAAACATACACACACACTCACTCACATTAACACATTTTTTTAACCCCCCCTCCCCCTCCTTACCCTTGGGAGTGCTGGGGGGGAAGGGGTTCTCTATCTCTCTGGGGGTCAAGTGGCTGCTGGGCGGCGTTGTTGGGCGGCTGGCGAGGGAGCTCTTCCTCTGAGCACTCTGCTCAGCTCCCTCGCGCGCCGCAGAGTGAGGCTGGGAGCCGGAATATGACGTCATCAACCTGGCTCCCAGCCTCACTCTGGGGCGCGCGAGTGAGCTGAGCAGAGTTCTCAGGGGAAGAGCTCCCACGCCAGCCGCCCGCCCTGCCCAGCCCAGCATGTTAGTTAGCCGCAAGGCTAACTAGGTATTTGCCGTGGGCATTTGGGGGGCGGCTTTTTTTGCCGCCCCCTGGAAAATGCCGCCCAAGGCAAATGCCTTGTTTGCCTCACGGCTAAAATGCCTCTGGTCACAACACATGGTGGCGGGCACCAGATCGCAGGGATCCGCAGGGCAGCCGGGCCCCCTGGAGTGACGGGCCCGGTCGCAGCTGCAATCCCTGCGACCGCGGTATGTACACCCCTTCCTGAGGGATGTAACAAGGTTTCAATGTAGAAGTGACAATTGAAATATACACTCTTTGTGAAACATGGACACTTCAGCATGCTAAAATGGTTAGATTTTTTTCTCTGAATTTGAACCTTCCTTTGAATTCACTTTGAGTTTCCCATCTATTTAGTGATTAATCCTGTTGGTTTTTTTCCAAATGAAAAAAAGATGAAATAGATCTACCAGGGTTACTTTTCAAAGTACAGGATTGAGTATAATTTGAATTAAGTCTTAACCTATTTTACAGTTTCCATCATTTCTTGATGTTGGAAAAATTGGTCTCTCCCAAAGGTAAGTTTACAAAGAGATATGGACCTTTTATTGTGACCAAATGAAGGATTGAATTAGTTTGTTCCAGATCTTTAATATCAGACCACTTTATTAAATCTGGTATAATTTGAATAAGGTTTGATATTAAATATTATAAATATGAGATAGGAAGGTGTTTATATTCCCTAAGAAGGCATTTATTTTCTGTGAGGAAAGAGGTGGTATTTTCCTGATAAAGTAAATATTTAACATGCCCATTCAAAAAGAAATGGAGTGGACCAAAGTCCCAATATAGTTTAGGTTTGTGAGAAACTGTCAGTGTCTGGTTCTTGTTATAAATGATTTTAAAACTCAATGTCATGTTAAAAACATTTAGGGTTCAAGAAATGTAGGCATGGCTGTGTGTGGATTAGAAATTAATAATTCAAGGTTGTCAGAAAAGGCTTGGATCCTGACTGCTCTCTGGATTGCTGTCTCCCTGTCTATTGAATAAAATACAGATTAAAGAACACCCACAAACATTTTTTACGTTTTACGTTTTACAAGTCTACGTATAATCACCTATCTCAGCAAACTTATATGGCGATTCACTTCCACTACATGGCAAAAAAGATAATAAAGGACAGATAATGGAAAACAGTGGTATTTACATCCATTGCTGGCAATACATTCACTGAGAAAAAACACTATTCTGTGAGTCCTGCAAAACCAGAGCACTTGCTCTGCTGTCATCAGAAACTATATAGAAATGTTTGTATATATTTACTCCACAATATTAAATACTTCAGGCCAGGAAGACCAAGATGTGTCTGAACTACTACCAACTGACGCATTTCATACGGAGACCGGCACTTAATCATAGACGATTAAGCAGACTTTGATTGAGTGCAGTTCTTCAATGCGTCAGTGGAGGTTCAGATACATTGATTGTAATCTTCCTGCCTTGAAGTGTTTTAACCCCTTAAGGACACAGCTTCAGAAGCTTGACTTACGCTTAATGACACAAGCAATTTTTGCATTTTCTTGCTGTTTGCGTTCAACTGCAATTTGCATCTCTCTCATTTATTGCACCGACACATATTATATACTGTTTTTTAAAGGACAGAAAGGGCTTTAATTTGATATAACATATATATATATAAATGCTTACTTATTATAAAAAAAATACAGAAAAATGCAAAAAAAATGAAAAATATTGGTTTTTTTTTACAGTTTTTGCAATAATAATGTGTGCATAATTAGTGCAGGTTAAGGAAAGTAATTAAAAATAAATTTATTTATTTGTTCTGATTTACAGAATATATAATGTGTCTGGGATTTTAAGTTTTTTTTGGTAGTTACAGGTCACAAAGCACAAGGAGTAAAATAAAATTTTAATGTGGAGCGATTTTAGAATTTGGTATGTTTGTCTTGTAAGCTTAATAGCCATAAAAGAAAACAAAATTGCCACACAAAAGTATATATTTATATAAAGTAGACATCACGGGCTATTTACCTAAGGTTGTTTTGACACTTTCTACGTAGCCATATTACCGCCAACCTCTGCTAAATATTGGAGTAAAATTGTGTTCTTTTTGGTTTTTGGCACACAAACTTATAACAGAGAAATTCTCGTGTATATTTTGTAAAGTTGGTGTGTGCTATTCCTGTACAAAGTTTTATTTTGTGTTCAGTTATATCTGCTGAGTAAAATGACACCCCCATTGTATGTCTTTTGCACTATTTCGTGAAGTTACAGTGCCATACAGGATACCTGTCCTTTTCAGTATTCACAGTAGAATTTTGAGAGATGAATTTAATGAGCCTTAGCTTCCATTTGGGGTATTATAACAGTTTGACTGTTCAAAAAAACCCCACAAAGGCCTACCATTTGTAAAAGTAGACACTCCAGGGTATCTTATAAGGTGCATATTGTGCCTTAACATGCCCCCATTTTTTCACCAATATATGCCAAAGTATATGGT